TATTTATTGGAATATATGGGCCGACATTCCATGGTGAAAGCCCACAAAATAGGGTTGAGAATTTTCCGAAACCGACACGGCAAGCAAAACAAGACACCCAATATAGTGGAGTTTCAAATTTCAAATCCTTCCTATAATTAAATAATACAGTATTTTAGACAAATTTAAGGTTTATATATATATATATATATATATATATATATATATATATTCTTTACTGATTTTAGACAATTAATAAATACAAAAGACTTAAAAATTTGATATTGATCGATTAAAATACATTTTTAAAAAACGTCTGGAAAATAAATTATCTAAAAACAAAATTTTTTTTTTTTTTAAATTAATAGAATCAGATTTGAATATAATATAGTGCAATCAACAATTTTATTATTTAAATTAGAAGGCATTCCAGGTACACCTGTACTTTGGGAATAAGTAGAAAATAAATTATATTTTTAATAATTACTTTTAAAAAATAATAAAAATACAAGCTAAATTTTGGGAAACTTTCAACACAAACTAATAATTTAAAAAAATGGTAATACTAATTTTGTTACTTAGTTTTTATAGCAATTAAATTATATATATATATATATATATATATATATATATATATATATATATATATATAATGCTAAATTTGAATATCTTTATATAAATGGGTGTGATGAGGGGCGGTTTGGCTTTGGCTCGGTCGGTGGGACGGGCACGGGATTAACGCGCCTCCGGTTCTGGTTTTGGTTAAAAAAATCACTCAAACAAAAAAGTTGCATTTTCCGGCCGGCCGGCCGGCCGGGTTATTCTATGCTTGGGCGGCGCAGCCATTTTCTGTGGCGACCCGACATTGACGGCGAACTTGTACAAAAAATTGTTATATTTACAAATTTAAGTAAATCGTTGTATATCTACAAATATAGAATCTGGTGGGCCGAACTAACTAAACCACCGTCGGTCCGACCGGAATTTTCATTTTCTCAGAATTTTTGGCGAAGAAGAAAAAAGAAATAAAAAGGGGGAGACGGTTGGAGATAAGAAAAGGAGGGGGACACGTGGCAAGGTTGACTTACGAATGAAGGGACACGTATGCAAAAGAAAAGTCACAAGAAGAGATGGGTAGCACGAGGGGAGGGAGCTATTTACCAATAACTCAACCAACATTGCCACATATTTTATTACCTCTCCTTTTCCCACCTTACATCTGCTCGTTTAAGGAATGATCATGAATTTATAATTAAGATCAATGAAGTATTTTAGAGAAGCTCAAAACAAACAGAGTCATGAGAGTTTATGCTCAAAGTGAACAATATAATACGATTGTAGAGAGTCGTTTCATCTAATATGGTATCAGAGTCATGCTTTAACTTAGTGATGCCAATAGATGAGCAAATTCTCAAATGTCGAACAAAGTATTGTGACCCTTAATTAAGGGGAGGTATACTTTATTTGAGGGAGGTAATCAAGGAATACTATGTCTATTGGTACGAGCCACTCAAGGCTATGTGATGTTCATCTAAGACCGTTCAATTATTTCCATCATTTTTCACCTTTTAAAGCTTATTATTTAATTGATATTTAAAAAAAAAAAATATCTCTGATGAAACAGCTTTTGGAAATTATTTTAGTTTATTTCATAGAAATCTTCTCAATATCAACGGTCCTGCCGATTTGATCTTGCAAGAACTAGAATAAAAGAAGAACAAACATGAACACCAGAGAAGGTACAAAAATTTGAAGCAAATTTGTAGTATAACAGTGGTGATCACTGATATTCTTCTGTTCTCTTCTGTTCATCCCGTTTGCGTCCACTTCATTCAATCAAGCGGATTCTGGATTTTTCTTCTTCTTCTTCTTCTTCTTCTTCTTCGATTTCCATCGCGCCCCAGAAAGGGAGCGAAAGAGTTTCGGGAGATATTTTTTAAAATTTTTTTTTATATGGTGGATGATAAATTTGAAACCTCTTTTGCCTACAGTTTTTGTTTGATGAATCTGTGGATCTACTGATTCTTAGATCTCCATCGTTTTCATTTGGTAGCATTCAGTAGCTGTCCGAACTGATCAAATAACCTAATTGCAGAGTGAGTTCGTATTACTTTTTCATCGTCTCTTATTTCTATAGTTCGTATTTTTCATTTAGTTTTTCGGAATTTAAGCTTGAGGATGAGGCGTTTCTGGTTCGTGTGCTGAATGGAAAGGTTTAGTTCTTGTTTGTGTGTTTTCTGTAGCCCTTTTTCACTAATGATGTTTGGTCAACGGATTATGAGATGATGGATTTCTGTTGTATTGTGGGTTTATTGTAGTTCATCGAGATAGTTGACCGAAATATGCAATTACAGGAGCCGGTTATCAGATTGAGGAGTTTTGCTGCTTTGAATTGTGAGTGATTTCTTTTCTTCTTTTGATTTTAGACAGAATGGTATGGTTATCCTTTATGAATGTAGAGTTAAGTGGTTGGAGTTGATGAAATGAGGGATGTTATCCAGCTTGATGAACTTTCTGAGGGCTTGCTGGCTGCCGTCCTCGGACAATATCGTACTCAGCGGTTCGGATTCAGCAGGTCGTCGTGAAGGCTTACTATGGTACAAGGATATTGGACAGCACATGAATGGTGAATTTTCAATGGCTGTTGTCCAGGCTAATAACTTGCTTGAGGATCAAAGCCAGATCGAATCGGGTTCATTGAGCTTGGTCGAGTCCGGGCCATATGGAACCTTTATTGGTGTTTATGATGGTCATGGTGGACCGGAAGCATCAAATTACATATATGATAATCTTTTCCAGCATCTAAAAAGTAAGAACTCTAATCGAGATTGAAATGAGTTTATGTTCTTCACAGTTCAAATTGTCTGAGCATTCATTTGAAAATGCAGGGTTCACCTCAGAACAACAATCAATGTCTTCTGATGTGATAAAGAAAGCATTTCAAGCTACAGAGGAAGGGTTCATTTCTTTAGTGACTAAACAATGGCAAATGAAGCCCCAAATTGCAGCTGTTGGTTCATGCTGCCTGGTTGGTGTGATCTGTGGTGGCACCCTTTACATAGCCAACCTTGGCGATTCCCGTGCCGTGCTTGGAAGGGTCATGCGTGCAACGGAGGAGGTTATCGCCGTGCAGCTATCAGCTGAGCATAATGTGAGCATAGAATCTGTCAGAAGGGAGATGCATTCTCTGCACCCAGATGACTCGCATATAGTAGTTTTGAAGCATAATGTATGGCGAGTAAAGGGCTTAATACAGGTAACTCTTCTACTCAGCTAAGAAATTTCTGACCTTCAGGGGATATAAGTCTCTGCTTGGTGAATGTATTGTCAACTAAGCATGCGAATGCGTGTGTTTCTAGGCTTTGTTAGTCTCTTATAGGTACTAAGCTATTGATGTCAGGCCTCAAGCTCAGAAATGTCCTTTAAAGTAGACAAAAGAAAAGGAAGATACTTTTTACTTGCTTAGTTTTAGTTGTAGGTATTTCGGTAAAGAGTTCTGTTTTTCAATGTGAGATCCCACATCGGTTGGAGAGGAGAATGAAGCATTCCTTATAAGGGTGTAGAAACCTCTCCCTACGATACGTAACGGGCTAAAGCGGACAATATCTGCTAGCGGTGGGTTTGGGCTGTTACAAACGGTATCAGAGCCAAACACCGGGCGGTAGGTCAGTGAGGACGCTGGGCCCCCAAGGGGGTGGATTGTGAGATCTCACGTCAATGGAAGAGGAGAACGAAGCATTCCCTATAAGGGTGTGGAAACCTCTCCCTGGCAGACACATTTTAAAACCACGAGGTTGACAGCGATACATAATGAGCTAAAACGGACAATATCTGCTAGCGGCGAGCTTGAACAGTTACATTCACTCTCAACCAGTTCATCTTTTCTCTCTATCCCTCTCTCCCATTAGAGGTCCTCATTCCATTAGCAGCATTTACGTGGATGTTGCCATTTCCATTACATTGATATGTTTCATTATCGCAAAATTTATCTGACATTGTGGAATGAGACGTTTTGGTCACGTATTCGTGAATTCTTTTCTTTAATTGCAGGTTTCCAGATCTATCGGTGATGCATATTTAAAGAGGGCCGAATTCAACAGGGAACCCTTGTATGCTAAGTTTAGGCTTCGTGAACCATTTACTCGACCGATATTGAGCTGTGAACCATCAATTTCGGTGCATGAACTTCAACCACATGATCAATTCATCATATTTGCCTCTGATGGCATGTGGGAGCACATTAGCAATCAGCAAGCTGTAGATATTATTCGAAATCACCCCCATAATGTAACCTACTAGAACATCTGCTCCTTGTGGTGTGCGTTTCTGATTGTTTAAGGCGATGATGAAAAGCTAAAGCTATATTGAAAGATTGAATGTGACTTGTCTGCTTGTTTTCATGCAGGGAAGTGCTAAGAGGTTGGTAAAAGCTGCTATGCTGGAAGCAGCTAAGAAACGAGAAATGCGATATTCAGATTTGATGGAAATTGATCGTGGTGTACGCCGCCATTTTCACGACGACATCACCGTCATAGTTGTATTTCTTGACTCTAATCTTGTAAGCAGAGCGAGCTCGGTCCGAGGTCCAACCATGTCTTTGAGAGGGCGCGGTGTTATCATACCTACAAAATCTCTAGCTCCTTGTGCCACACCTACAGAGCTTCACACAATCTGATGAAGCGGTCTGACTCTCGTTCTAGCTGTTATGTACGTACCACCGCCTCGTGCTCGGTCTTCAGAATTGCCATGGCCCCATCAGCAATGAATATCAAGTATAAGTTAACACAAGAAAGAAGGTTTGCATACTTTTACATTTAACATGGCATGTACTCTTTGTAGTTCCTAACAATTTGAGCAGAAGTTAAGGAAGAACTGGAAAAGCTTCTATTCCTGAAAACTGAACTTTCTGCACTAAAAACTTGCTGAATCTGACTGAGCCCAACTATTCAGAAGAACGAAGAACGAAGAACGAAACTAAACCAGACCTGTCTCGGGCTATCTTACGCATGTTTGTGACAGAATCAGTTCTTATTTTGTTCATCATTTGCAGCCATGGACAGCTGCTGTTCGATACTGTGATCGATGTCAATGGAAATACTATTAATCTCGAGGCACTTTAAGCTCACACTCTCAAACTCAACGGTATCCATCCCCACGCGAAACTTCCCAAATTTGACACCTTCAATGCTCACCAGGCTCTCAGAATGTTCAAACTCCATGGATTGCTGCCTGAGGAGCTTCCTGGTGCTGAAGTTGTCAGCTTCATGAAGAGCTTCCTGTAGCTCGAGGCATACCCGAGCCATGGTTGGGCGGTACTTAGGCTGGTGTGAAGTGCATTTCAGGCCAAGTTGCCCCATCTTTAGCATCACTTCCATGTTGCATGGCTCGGAAATAAGATTTACATCCAAAATCTCTTCAACTCTGCCGTTTTCTAAGCTCGGTCTTGCCTGCAATTTCAGATAGAATGTTAGACGAAAATTGAGACTAGAAATGATGTGACAAATGAAAAAGTTCAACAAGTATTTTATATATATATATATAATTTAGCTAATAAAATAGGAGTTGGTTACCCATTCAACGATATGAGAGTTGGGGAGTGATCCATTGGAAGTGAGCACTGGACGAGCAGAAACGAGCTGCAGAAGAATAATGCCAAAGCTATAGACATCGCTAAAAGGAGTCAAGTGAAAGGTAGAGCAATATGCAGGGTCCAAGTAGCCGGGCGTGCCTTTGATTTGGCTGCTCACATGCGACCGATCACCAATGGGTCCCGACCTTACCAACCCAAAATCCGAAACCTTTGCCTCGAAATCTTCTCCGATTAAGATATTGCTTGGTTTTACATCTCTATGGATTACGCTAGCTTTCATCCCATTATGCAGATGAGCAATCCCTTCCCCACCCCCAAAAAAAAAATTATTATTATTATTATTATTATTATTATATATCAAGAAGTTTAGTTTAGTTTCTAATAATTTTATTCTAATATACTCATCATGTTTTAAATAAATGAATCTACTAACGTAGTTTCAATTAAAAGATCAGATGTTCGAATCTCTCCCTCTTAAAGAAACACAATCATTTGAGATAGTAATAGAAGGAGACGACATATTAGATCCAATGTCGTGTTCTAAATAAATGAAATAGATATCAATGACGAGAAATAGCATACCTTTGGCAGCTCCAATAGCTATGTTAACTCGTTGTCTCCAAGTCAAGCTTCTTCCTTCATGGCCTATGCAAAGCCACAATAAACCCGACCAAAATATTTTACAACCGAAGAAGAGATCGAAAATATTAATTAATTAAAATTTTTACCAATTATGTAATGTAGAAGTGACCCATTTGGTACATATTCATAAACCAATATTCTCTCTCCTCCATTCCCTGCCAAGAACACATGATTTTCACATTTTTAAAAAAATTATCTTCATAAATCATCAAAATTCACTCTTTTTTTTAAGCTCTAACCTGTAGTTTCTTCACAATATCCCACCAGAGCTGCCAAGTTCTCGTGCTTTACGGATGACAATAGCTTCACTTCTGTTCGAACACGAAACAAATAGTTTTCAAATTCTTAAAAATTTTGTTTTTGTTTCACGAGCTTAACTAAGAATTGAACTGTGAGATTCCATATCAGTTGGAGAAAAAAATGAAATCTTTTGTATAAGCGTTTTGAAACCATGAGATTGACGCTTATACGTAATGAGTCAAAACAGATCATATCAACAAGCGATGAGTTTGGATTATTACGTCAAATGTTTTGGATCGCTATAAGCTGATGATGATCAAATCCGCTACACCCACTCACTACCTACCCTGATCCTAACTTTACCCATTTAAATAAATTTTACATAAAAATAATTATATCTATGACTGATCTTGAATATAAAAGTTATTTTATGAAATTTTTCATATTTTTATAGGGAGTAGAGATCAAGTTCTCCACGAGAATTTTTATTTTATTTATATATATATTATAAAAATATTAATTTTAAATAAAATTTTAATAGATAATTTTTATTTTTAATACAATTTTTATAAAAAAAAAAATTACAAAACAACCTAAAAAATTAAAGAATATTTGACTTAATCTTTATTTATATAAATATAGATGAATTATCATAACCATAAATGAAAGAGTTTTAACATAATTTCTTTTTGATAAACACAAATTTTAGGGATTAAATTGTTAATTAAAAAAATAATAATGTTATTTTAAACAAAATTAAAGAGCAAATTAAAAAGATAATTAATTTACCATTTCGAAATTCTTCGAGACTCGTATATGAATCACTATGCGGTCTTTTAATGGCCACGATTTCGTGGCTCTCAAGAACACCTTTATAAACATTAGCAAACGAACCAAACCCTAACAAATATTCGCTTCTGAAATTCTTCGTCGCCTTCTCCAATTCCTCAAATCGGAACCTCCTCGGCTTCGATTTCCCTTCCTTCAACCTTCCGTTAGGGTTCCGCCGCCGCTGCCGGAACCTCTGCAGAATTTTCCGACGAAAAGCACAGAACAGAAACGCGCTCAACGACACCACCACCACTGCTCCGACGACAAACTCTATCCACCGACTGCTCCGGTTCGGCGGCGGAGAAATTGCCGGCGAAGAAGGCGATACAGCGGCGAAGAAGGCCATTTCTTAAGAGCGTTTGAAAGATTGAGGAAAATTAGGGCGAAGGTGAGCGGAATTTGAAGAGAAGAAGAATGGGTCTTGTTGAAAGCAGGACGGCACACGGAGCCAAAACAGAGAGCCATAGAATTATAAACATGAACACTACGCCGTACGGTTTTGTGGATTATTTATATCATAACTCAACCATTTGCTAGCGTTTGGTTAATTTTCATATAATTAGCCAATTTCAAATGATTTGGACATATATATGTACATATATATATATATATATATATATATATATATATATATTGGATTCACTTATTTGGATCATTTATTCGAGTTTTTATTTAAAAATATATAAATAAGAATATTTTTTAAATAAAAAAACAAGACGAAATGATTTTTTTTTTATCATTAGATATTCGAGTTCTTTTCAAATTATTATTTTTTATTATTTGAAATAACATAAAAAAAAATTATTTATTTATATGCTTAATTTTTAAAATTTATGTTGGAGAAGGCTGATAAATGAGATAATATTAAATAAATTAATTATTTATGCGTTGAAAATTTTAAAATTTATGTTGGAAAATGCTAATAAATGAGATAATTTTAAGAATTAGTAGAGAAATAATCTCAATTTATAAGTAAAGAATACATCTCCATTAATATGAGGTATTTTGGGAGAGTCCAAACAAAATCATGAAAGCTTATACTGTAATAATATTTTTTACTTTTTAAAATAGTAATCTTTTTTCGATAATTTAACCTAAATTTGGTAACTATTTTCTCACAGTAATTGGTGTAATCATATTTTTTAAGGAAAAAAATTAAAAGCAAAATCATCTTCAAACAAAGGTTCAAACTTTTGATTATATTGATTGGCAGATTACTTCCCCGATCGGTGAATGTGGTCGCCTTTGTTCATTGTTGGTACAAAGGATGACAGCTTTTGGGTTGTTCATAGATATGACTTTAGCCAATTCACATCAACATATTCTTGTAAATTCACATCTTAAAATACTCACGATCTTATCCTCATCCAGCAACATTCCAATGGAGAAGTCAGAGAATCATGAATAAAAAAACACTTTTAAGTAGAAATTCCACTTTCCCATTAGGAAAATCGAGGCAAAACAGGCTCCAAAAGACATGAAGATGTTGATGAAAACAAAATCAAACTCATACCCATGTTAAAATCTGGAGAAAACTGTAGGGAAATCATAAGTTTTGATCAATAAATCCAAGCAAATGATTGTAGGTGAATGAACTTAGTCAAGAACTTGCAGGAAAGCGCCAAATTGCGCCAAAAATCTTGCGAATTGGGTAGTTGAGAGAGGTAGGGACCGCCCACTTATGACCGATTTTTGCGTCTCAGCGATATACCCAGAGAGACCTATTCTTAATATTTTCCACCGATTGTGGCCGCCTACCGCTTTCTCTTACCTTTTCATTTTGCTACCCCCTCTCTCTCTCTAGATTACCATACTGGATTTCGATTCAGCCCATTTGATCTCGCACTGTTTCTCCTCCATTTTTCCCTTTCCTGCCTTGATTTCTTAAGTTGATCGATCTCTCTTTGCTTGTGGAGTATCGCATCCATCACATCCATGGGTACTCTTCCAATCAAATCGATCTTCGTCCCTTCTCTTTCGTTTTTTTCTGGGTTTTTTGTGATTTGCGTGTTTGCGGCTGCTTGCGGCGGCGATTTCTTTTGGGGGCGTTTCGTTTTTAATTCTCTGATGTTGGGTTTCTTGGGTTTTTTTTTACAGCGATCGAAAACCCTTTCAATGGCATCTTGAAGACCCTTGAGAATCCTGAAGGGTCTGTGTTTGGAAAGTACTACAGCTTGCCTGCTCTGAACGATCCTAGAATCGGTGAGTGGTTCTGCTTTATTTGATTATTGGTTTGATTCTATCTGTTTGAGTGTGCTTTATCAGATTCTATCTGTTTCTGAATCAAAAGTTCCAAGTGGTTTTAGTGGTGTGAGTTGAAACTACATTAAACGTTCTGAATGGTTGGATGTTGATTGTTGGATGGATGTTTGTTTGGCAGAAAGGCTGCCATATTCCATTAGGATTCTTCTCGAATCGGCCATCCGAAACTGCGATGAGTTCGCGGTTAAGGCTAAGGATGTCGAGAAGATTCTTGATTGGGAGAACACCTCTCCCAAACTGGTTGAAATTCCTTTTAAACCTGCTAGAGTGTTGCTTCAGGTCAGCATTTTGTTTCTGAAAGTTGGATACGGATTTGTGTTGTCATTTGATATGTGAAATGTGCGTCGATTTAGGATTTTACTGGTGTGCCTGCTGTTGTTGATCTTGCTTGTATGCGAGACGCTATGAACAGGCTTGGTGGTGATTCCAACAAGATTAATCCATTGGTGAGTAGTGAACTATGTAAATTCTTCGTTCTTTATATTTGTCGATCGTTCGATCTATCTAATACATGAACAGTTGAACCCATAGTGATGGCTTATGAATGCGATCGATACAGGTTCCTGTAGATCTCGTCATTGACCATTCAGTTCAGGTCGATGTGGCAAAGACCGAAAATGCAGTACAGGCGAATATGGAACTGGAATTTCAACGAAACAGAGAAAGGTTTGGTTTTCTGAAATGGGGATCTAGTGCTTTCCATAACATGCTTGTCGTACCTCCCGGATCTGGTATAGTTCACCAGGTATACGTCCATGTCTTACAACACTCGAGCGTGCAGGATAGTCCACCACGATCATCCCGTTGTCTCGATATAAATGTACTTTTTTGTCATCTTATAGTATTGGATCATTTTTCAGGTTAATCTGGAATACCTTGGCCGAGTGGTTTTCAACACAAATGGCTTGCTTTACCCTGATAGTGTTGTGGGAACCGATTCACACACAACGATGATTGATGGATTGGGCGTTGCTGGTTGGGGCGTTGGTGGGATAGAAGCAGAAGCTGCAATGCTTGGACAGGTATGAAATAATCATATTTTTTGGTATCGTATTTTTGTTATCTTGCGGGAAAATGATTGACTTTGTTCTTTCTTTCTCTCGTCAATTTTAGCCCATGAGCATGGTCTTGCCTGGCGTCGTCGGGTTTAAATTAATTGGAAAGCTGAGAAACGGTGTAACAGCTACAGACTTGGTTTTGACTGTGACTCAAATGCTCAGGAAGCACGGTGTTGTTGGCAAGTTTGTGGAGTTTTATGGTAGGCAGAGTCGAACTTCTGAACGCCATTTTAAAATTTACGCCACCCTTTTTCTTATAATGCCATTTTACTTTTATGCAGGGGAAGGTATGAGTGAACTATCTTTGGCCGACCGTGCCACAATTGCCAACATGTCCCCTGAGTACGGTGCAACAATGGGCTTCTTTCCTGTCGATCACGTCACCCTGCAGTATCTGAAACTGACCGGAAGAAAAGATGAAACAGTTAGTTATCGCTCACAATGACGTTCAGCTAGTTAGTAGTTCATGTATGCTTTTGTTCAAGTGCTAACTTGAGAATTACGATTCAGATTTCTATGATAGAATCCTATTTGCGAGCGAACAAGATGTTCGTAGACTACAGTGAGGTAAATATAAAATATTATCTTTCCTTATTTTATTTTCGATATTTAGAACCTTCCGTGTCTGAGTTAGATTTTACTGAATGCAGCCTCAAGTTGAACGAGTGTATTCCTCTCATATAGAACTGAATCTTTCGGATGTCGAACCGTGCATATCAGGTCCAAAAAGGTAGTTTAAATTATACTAGAACTTGTGTAAAATTGAATAATAACCTAGCCTTGTTTAACCTTACGTTCTTCCTCTTGGTTTTGCAGACCGCACGATCGAGTTCCCTTAAAAGAAATGAAAGCTGATTGGCACACATGCCTCGACAGTAAAGTCGGATTCAAGGTGAAGAACATTTACCCGAGCAAATTGATTTTGAATTGAATTACAAATACCATTGATGTTACTTTAAGCGAACGGGATTTAGCATGGCCAGAAACTAGAGTTTCGAAAGTTGTCATCAAGATATTTTTTAGCACGTTTCTAAATCCGTTGCCGCTATTTTCATCGTTCCTATATTCTTATATAATGATGTTATAGGGGTTTGCCATACCAAAGGAAGCTCAAACAAAGGTTGCAGAGTTCAGTTTTCATGGATCCCCAGCTCAGCTTAGGCATGGGGATGTCGTAATTGCGGCTATCACTAGCTGCACAAATACCTCGAACCCAAGCGTTATGCTTGGAGCTGCTTTGGTGGCTAAGAAAGCTTGTGATCTTGGGCTAGAGGTTAGATGTCTGTCTTCACCCACCATTAATAGGACCTCTCTATCAATGTGTTCGACTCGTAGTAATCGGTTCCAGTGAGCTCTATCGGTTTTGATCTTGTTGCAACTTTGTGAATCAGGTTAAGCCCTGGATTAAGACGAGTCTTGCTCCTGGCTCTGGGGTGGTGACCAAATATTTGGCGAAGAGGTAATTTTCCGACCGTGCAATAGATGAACCTTTTTTTATACGAGAGAATACTCATCTACGGTACGTGTTTTTACATCTGCAGTGGCTTGCAGAAGTATCTTAATCAGCTAGGGTTCCATATAGTTGGGTATGGATGTACTACATGCATTGGAAATTCAGGAGATATTGATGAATCTGTTGCTTCAGCGATAACCGAAAATGGTAACTATTTGTGTTCGGGTGGGATGTTTGATACTGTTCTTTGGTATTCTAAAAACTGCGTTGCTAATGATATTTGAACGTTCAGACATGGTTGCTGCCGCCGTACTGTCTGGAAATAGGAATTTCGAGGGTCGTGTACACCCTTTGACGAGGGCCAACTACCTCGCTTCTCCTCCTCTTGTGGTAGCCTATGCTCTTGCTGGCACTGTAAGTACCTTCTTGTTCTCTATCTCTCTTGAATTGGAAAGGTGAGTGTTTACCTAGAAGACCGTTTTAAAAACCTTGAGGGGAAGCCCGAAAGGGAAAGCTTAAGAAGGACAATATTTGCTAGCTGTGGGCTTGAGCTGTTACAAATGGTATTAGAGCCGGACACCGGGCAATGTGTCAGCGAGGAGGTTGAGCTCCGAAAGGGGTGGACACAAATCGGTGTGCCAGCAAGGATGCTGAGCCTTGAGGGCGTGGATTGGGGGGTCCCACATCAATTGGGGAAGGGAACGAGTGCCAATGAGGATGCTGGGCCTTGTGAATTATGAGATCCCACGTCGGTTGGGGAGGAGTACGGAACATTCTTTGTAAGGGTGTGGAAACGTCTCCCTAACAGACACGTTTTAAAAACTTTGAGGGGAAGCCCGAAAGGGAAAGCCCAAAAAGGACAATATCTGCTAACGGTGTGCTTGGGTCGTTATAATAAATGTACCCACCACATCAAATTACTTTTGATATCGTAAAAGATAACTCGTCCAATGCATAACTTGAGGCTATTTTGCAGGTGGACATCGATTTTGAAACTGAGCCTATTGGGCGGGGGAAGGGTGGAAAGGAAGTGTTTTTTAGGGACATTTGGCCGACTAGCGAAGAAGTTGCCGAAGTAAGCTGCTATACTTTGAAGTGCTTTTTAGATGCTGAGCTCTTTGATTGTTGTATTTGGATCTTATTCGTTGCTCGAACAGGTCGTACAATCAAATGTGTTGCCCGACATGTTTCGGGCCACATACCAAGCAATCACCGAAGGAAATGCAACTTGGAATCAGTTATCCGTTCCCGAAGGAACACTCTACTCCTGGGACCCAAAGTCAACGTACATTCACGAGCCTCCGTATTTTAAAGATATGACCATGTCTCCTCCCGGGGCTCACGGGGTCAAAAACGCGTACTGCCTGCTCAATTTTGGTGATAGTATTACAACTGATCATATCTCACCTGCTGGTAGCATCCATAAAGATAGTCCTGCTGCTAAATACCTTCTCGAACGTGGGGTTGACAGAAGAGATTTTAACTCGTACGGTAGTCGCCGTGGGAATGACGAGATTATGGCACGTGGCACGTTTGCCAACATTCGTATAGTCAATAAACTATTGAAGGGGGAAGTTGGGCCCAAGACAATTCACATCCCCAGCGGGGAGAAACTCTCTGTATTTGATGCTGCAATGGTAATTTCTTGATCTTTTTTCATTTTACCATATCGAATGTCTTCGATCTGAATAACTTTTCCTTTCGAGATTCTCGATTCTCGTCCTTAGATTATGTATCTGTTAACAGAGGTACAAGAACGAGGGGCTTGATACGATCATTCTGGCCGGTGCCGAGTATGGAAGCGGAAGTTCACGTGATTGGGCTGCCAAGGGGCCAATGCTTCTGGTACTTTTTCTGATTTGTACTGATAGCTCAATTCTTATGGACTTGGAGTCATCTGGTCATATTACTTAATGCTCTTTGAAACCTCTTCCAGGGTGTCAAGGCAGTTATAGCAAAGAGCTTTGAACGTATACACCGCAGCAACTTGGTCGGTATGGGTATTATTCCTCTATGTTTCAAGGATGGGGAGGATGCCGAGTCCCTCGGGTTGACTGGGCATGAGCGTTACACCATCGATCTTCCAAGCAATGTGGGGGAAATCAGACCTGGTCAGGAGGTGGCTGTGGTGACAGACGCTGGAAAGTCGTTCAGTTGCATTCTAAGATTCGACACCGAGGTACTTTCCGAACCGTAGTCTACACGTCTGGAAACCGAACATGGGGTAACTCTGAAAAACCAGGTCGCCATTGGTAATTTCTTAATCTGAAAGCTTGCTGGTTTTAATGTGCAGGTGGAACTGGCATACTTCGATCATGGTGGAATTCTGCAGTATGTGATGAGGAATTTGATCCACGCAAAGCACTAAAGGAAGTGGGATCAGGTTGGAGCTCTGAATTTCTTAATAAAATGGTTTCAAGTTCTTCGTTTGGGACTATCAAGTTCTTCGTTTCAAGGATTTCCCATATATATCTGTATGACATATTTTTATTAATTTTGTTAAGGGGAAATGCTAATTTTTCAGAGAAATTTATTGTTTGAATTTTTCAGATAGTCTAATCTGTTTTAATTATTTTAAAAACAGTTTTAGCCTTTTAAATTTTTAATTGACCATTCAAATGTTGATTCAATCTAGAAGTGAAACGATGAATTATTCTAAGAATATCCCTCAAATTTTAAATAATCTATATACCAATATAATATAATTAAACTTCGATGACATTTTAGTATCTTTAATAATTTAATATTTTATTATTGCGAGCTCAATTTATATTAATTTAACCTTTTTTTTTTTTTTTTTTTTT